TTGTTTTCTCCTCCAGATTGTTTATCCAGCCTCTCTTATGTAGATAGACCTGTGGAGATAATAATGTGCACAAAAACAAAACAGCAAAACAAAGCAGCAAAAGAAAAAACAACAAAAAACCAATGACCAGGAAAAGTAAAGCCTATAAATAGTTCAAGGTCTGTTTGTTGACCTTTAGGAGTGTCTTCTGGTTGAGTCCGATGGGATGCCACACCCTGTTCCCAAAGTCTATTTTTGGTACTCCCTAGGGACTTCCTTGCTCTGCTCCTCTTGCTGTTCTGTTGCATGCCCTTAGTGTTTTGCCTCGGTGCGGCGGGGTCAGTTCAGGTGCAGTTCCCACACTGTGTCTCCAGTGTTGTCCCCTGCAGTAAAAAAATTATAGCAACATCCAGTGGGAAAAGCCAGCAGGAAAAATGAGTAAAAGAACCCGTACAACAGCAGGATAACTCAGGAGCAGATGTAGAACAGCCACAAAAGCAGATTTCCAATAAAACTTTATATACATTTCAAAAAAACTGTTGTTTTAGGCAAATGTGGTTTGGGGCAAGTCTTCCCACTTGGGCTAGTGGGGCCCACTAGCGAGTTGCAGCTTTTGCACACAGACACCTTCCACCATCGCCACCTTCCAGGCTGGCTGCCTCTTCCAGATGTGAGCAGGGGCTTCTTAGAAGACCGTCCAAGAGCATAAGAGGTCAGACAGTGCAGCTTGGCAGTGACTCAGCCCGAGTTACATTTGGTGCATGATCTTCGGTTGCAATACCCCTGAGTGCAGTCAGAGAGCTGCCCCACACACCTGGACAGCTTCTGCAGCCAGGTGCAGGTTCTGAGGCTGGGTGGCCCAGCCTCCAGCCTAAGTTGTAACATGTTGAGGACACTGAGTGGAGCCCCTGAGGAACACAGCTCTCTGCATGTAAATAGAATGCTCTCACGTTTACAAGTTTCTACAGTGTAAGCAAAGTTTCCCCTTTTAATGAAAAGCAGGTGGGTTCACATTCTGATGAGGAATGAAATGTAGCCATTCCTTCATTTCCTTTTCTCTCCAGTGGCTGTCAAGTGGCTTCTGACTCAGGGCAGCCCATGTGTCTCAGAGTGAGCTGTAGTTTCCAGCAGCTGATTTGTCTGTCTGTCTGTCAGCAGGCCTCTCGTCTCTGAGTAGACCAAGCCACCAGCCTCACCGCCACCCTTAGCATTTGGGGTACCTGGGGACTCCACCCCGATTATTAAAATACCGTGGATTTCAAGTCGTTTCCCACAGAACATTAGGAATGGGTTTAGTTTGAAAGTCTTATACTCCTTTTAGTCTTTCCTAGGGTCTTATGACTGTCATTCTCTGAATGCTAGAAGACAGATGTGATGGACCCTCAATCTCACTTGTACCACACGGTACCATATACGCTGTTCTTTTGCCCTGTCGTGAAAAAGCTGGGAAGCTCTCTTCACAGTCACACATGGAAACTATGAAGCAAAGCAGTAAATTCAGACTAATGATTCCCTCCAGGAGGGCGTGGTGCCACAGCCTTTCCCGGAGTTGTGCCCACCCCAGCGCTGGCGTCCCTGTTCGGTGGTGGATGTACACTTAGCCCGTCAGGAGCTAATAACGCCAGTTAAAAGAAAACCTACTCTGCAAGTCCCCCAGGACAGCTTACCCTGTTCTCCGTCGCCACGCTGCTGGTGCTGTGTGTCTCTCGCTTCATTTTACTCAGCTGCAGAAATGCTACCAAAGCAAACACTTGGGTTTTTTTTTAATATAATAGTAGCAGGTGCCAGTATTTAATAATAGGTCTTGATGATGATAATTGGAGAAGCAGAGACTCAGGGAAATCAAAAGACATAATCTGAGCTTGAGAACAGGATGCAACTCTCAGCTATGCTAAAGCCACGTTTTCTGTAATTGACAGATAAACAGGGTTTTCCTTACTCACCTGGGGATATTGCAGTCCTCTCTACAGCTGTGGTAGTTTCTGAGCTCTACCAAGCAGTTGGACCGAGTCATAAATTAGGAATTTAACCCCTTATTCCAAACTCCATTGTGATCCTTTAAAGTCTTAGGTCTTTAGGGTATCATTTACTCCGTTTTCTCATCAATACAATAAAGGTAATATGTCCATCTTCTCTGGGATGCTATGATGCTGAGTGAAAAAACACTTGTGAAAGGTACAGCGCTTCAGGAATGAGAGAGAGGTGAGTGAAGTGTTAACTTCCTCTCTGGAGGAAAACGTTGCAGTGCCCCCTGGTGGTCAGGAAGAGTGGGCGTGCTACTGGGGAAGAAAGGCATTTGACCCCTGGCGAGAAGCAGAGTGTGTTGTGCAAGGGCCATTGGTGTCCGAATTGGTTTTTTAAAAAGTGGCTGCAGAGCAGAGGTGCCTCTGACCTTTGCCTCGTAGGAATCAACTTTGGGCAGCGGTGGCTGCTGGTGGTGGCTGTTCTGCCCCTCCGCAGTTAGAGGTCAGACACGACCGCCACACCTTTTTTTTTTTTTCCAAATCATTTCATTGGGGGCTTGTACAACTCTTATCACAATCCATACATACATCCATTGTACGTTTCTTGCCATCATCCTCAAAACATTTTCTCGTTACGTGAGCCTTTGGTATGAGCTCCTCATTTTCCCCATCCCTCCCCACCCCGCCTCCCTTACAGACCCTTGATAATTTATAAATTATTATTTTCTCATGTTTTACACTGTCCGACATCTCCCCTCATCCACTTTTCTGTTGGGATTGGGTTATATATAGATCATTGTGATCAATTCCTCCTTTCTCCCCCACCTTCCCCTTACCTTTCTGGTATTGCTACTCTCATTATTGGCCCTGAGGAGTTTATCTGCCTTGGTTTCCCTGTGTTTCCAGCCCTTATCTGTACCAGTGTGTATTCTCTGGTCTAAGCAGATTTGTAAGGTAGAATTGGGATCATGATAGTGGAGGGGAGGAAGCATTAGAGAACTGTACTGCTTCCGCCACACCTTTTAGTAGGTGGTATTGCGCTCAGCAGTAGCCATTCTCACTGCCAGTGAGTCCATTCTCACTCACAGTGACCCCATAGGACAGAGTAGAACTGTCCCTGTGGCTTCCCGAGATGAACTCTTTACGGCTGTGGGAAGCTTCAAACTGCTGATGTTTGGGTTAGCAGACCAATTCCACTGGGTCCCAGACAGAATGCTTCTTTAATGCTGCTTGGATATAAGGGGAAAGGCTCTCTTCAGCCAGCTTTCCTTCGAAGCAACTCCAGTCTCTCCAAGTGGTAAGCAGTCTCCTGTGCTGACCTGGTGATTTTTTCTGGAGTCCTAATGGTTTCGTGGTTACGCATTGGGCTACTAACCACGGGTCAGCAGTTTGAAACCATCAGCTGCTCTGCCAGAGAAAGGCAGGCTTTCTACTCACGTAAAGAGTTACAGTCTTGGACACCCAGGGACAGCCCTACCCTCAAAGAGTCATTATGAATCTCGGCCGACTCATTGGCAGTTAGCTTGGTTTGGTTTGGTGTGGTTTGGTTTGGTGTGCTAACCCAGAGTTCCTCTGCACCGCTGTGAGTGATGCCTTTTCTTTTTCTGCCTGCTTTGTAGGCCTGGATGAATGAAAAGTTTGCCCCTGAGCTGCTGGAAAGCAAGTCTGAAATTGTGGAATGTGTTATAGAACAGCTGGATCACATGGTAAGAGCCGCTTGTCTCAGGGTTACGAAGGAATGGAAAGCTAAAAACAGTTGGGTCGGCAAAGTGAGAGGTTGTGGTCGTTGGGGTTTGTGATCCTTGGCATAGATCTGGACTTCAGGAATTAACAGCTCAGAGTAGCATTCAAATTTTTGAAATTGTACGTTTTCTCAATTGGAGTTATAATTGCCTTTCAGTCCCCTTTGACGTTGCTTCTCTGTGCTTTGTCATTGACTTTACAAGGAAGGTGGAGTTCTGGGCCCTTCTGACCACAGCCAAACTCTTCAAACCCAGATCGTTATTTTCTAGAGACAAATGAGTGTTGCTTGGAGTCTGCATATTGAGACGGTGGTCATATATTATTTGTGTGTAATTAAAAGACAAAAGGGAATGAGAGTTCTTCCGTGAGTTTTAGGTTTCCATTCTCCTTTGAAATGTTTAGTCTTTGAGTCCTGACTGTTGCCAGGGGTTGGCTGCACACAAAAAGGTCTTTAGTCTTTGAAGCATCATGCTATCTTACACTTGGGTTTCTCCTTAAATAGGAAGAGAACCTCAAGAAGGCCAGCAAAGGAGACCTGAAGGTCAGCATCCACCGAATGGAGACGGGGAGGATCCGCTATGTCCTCAGCAGCTACTTGCGGTGTCGGCTTGGGAAGGTTTGGCATAGAGATCAGTAGCTGTACATGTTAAAGCCATGTAGCCCCCCCCTCCCCCCCATGTAGACTGGGTTCTGAGAAGTAGAGCTGGGGCTTGGGAGACTCCAGAGCCTGAAGGGAGGACTGAGACTCACTCAGAGGGACTAAAGGAGGGCGAGCAGAGCTCATGCTGGAGACTCAGCTGCACAGCTCAGAGGGCATGCCAGCTGTTTTTAGTCCCCTACCTATGGGGGCTTTGGAGTCGGGATCAAGCCCAGAGCTCCTTTGGATGTGGAGGTCTCGAAGAACTTGGCAGCAGTAAACAGTTTCTGAAAAAGCCACAGCAACCAAATTAATTCAGAATCACAGGCATGATGAACTGCAGGTGTTCCTGACAGTGCTTACCCATGTTACAGGTTTGCAAAAGACAAAAGGGGGCGAGGAGAGGCAAAAGTACAAGCAGCCCTGGACTAGATGGCAGTGGTGGGTGATCTGCTGTGTGTGTGGTGTCCTCTGGCGTGACAGTGTAGCAGTGCTGAGGGACAGTTAGTTGTTGGCATTGATTGACTCGCTCACGTTCGGTTCACTGCCTTTGAGTCAATTTCAATTCATAGAGACCCTAGGTTTCCGGGACTGTAACTTTCATAGAATTCACATATACAATTCCGTAGTTCAATTCGTTTAGAAGAATTGTACAGTCAATACTATAATCAATTTTAGAACACTTTCTTCTTCTTTTTTTTTTTTTACTTTCTTCTTTCTTTGTAGTTGTTGTTAGCTTCCCGTTTCCCGCCAACCTCCCCTGCCATGTCCCTAGGTAATTATTAATCCAGTTAGTTACTCTCTATATAGATTTACTGGTCCTGGATTTCATATACTGAAAAACAAAATCAAGAAATAAACAAAATAAAACAGAAAAACCTAAATGAAAATAAAGCAGAAAATATTAAAAATTGGAACAACTTTAAAATGGGTCAAAAGGGAGATTAAATTATAAGGTATTACATTTTAACCTAGCTACATATGCCATAGTCAACTTTACAATGCTCACTGAGACTGTTACTCTTGATAGAAGTAGAAAACCTTGTCTTTCTCCCACTGAGCCTCTAGAGGTTTCAAACTTCTGGACTTAGAGTTAGCAGCCCAACGCATGACCATTATGCCACCAGGGCCCCTATTAGTTGACTAAGGAATACTAGCTAAAGGAAAACTAGTTTTCAAGATCAGGTTATATCTGTCAGACAAGGTCAAACAGACCATAATAATTTGATAGGAAAAATGAAATTGCAAAACAGTCCTATTTTCTGTGTTTTAACCCTAGAAAGTTCTTACCTTCTTACAGTTTCTTGTCATCTGGTTCCACTTGTCCTGTTAGGTAGTACCAAGCTAGTAGAGCGCTTCAGATAATCTGAAGACAGCTAGCGAGTCTCATGTCAGTCTTCTCTCGCCTAAACGTACCAGCCATTTGAGTCAAATTTATTTCTCCCGATCTCTTTTCTAGCAAGGTTTCAGTTTGTCAGTATGTGTGCTAGTCCAGGGAGACTAGAAAAGCTAATCCAGGGAGACTCATGTATAGGAGAGAGTTTTATATCCAAGAATAATTATGTATTAAGAACACATCCCAGCCCAGTCCAGATCAAGTCCATATGTCTGATACTAGTCCATAAATTCCTCTTTAGACTCACGTAGCACATGCAATGATGCTGAATGCAGGAAGAATACAGGCCAGTTGGGTAGAAGGTCTTGTGGATCCAGTGGCACTAGAAGCATGTCAATGCTGGCACGGGTCTCTACGTGTCTCCTCCAGCTCTCTGAGTGTCTCAACAGCAGGAAAGGGAAGGCAGAAAGGGAGTGTGTCCCACCTCCAGGGAGGAAGAAGTTCCCAGAATCCTTAGGGACAAGGTCATGCCCACACAGAGGCACCATTGGCCATGACCTGATTGACAGGCTAGACTCCACTCCTTTGCTCAAGTTGACAGGAGATTATGTAACTGCCACAGTGTGCTTCTTAAATTTTGCCACTCTGAACCAAACAACTATATCAGTTGTAGTTTGGCCCCTTTTGTGAAAAGCAAGATGATCATTTCTCAAATCTGATAGTCATATCACCCTATTAACCTAATAGCTTTTTTGACAGATAATTCTTAGTTCATCCTACACTCACCATTAGCTCTCACCCTGGTTGATGTTTCTCAGTTATTCTTACACCGTCCTGTCCCGATTCTGTATTTATGTGGCTTGGTATTTTTCCTCCCTAAGTACAGGGCTTCTAACTTACTGTCTCTGTATCCTAATTTTGTCACTCACATACAAGCTTTCCCTCACTCCCGTTTTGTTTGTTCAATTTTTCTTGTACATTTTTCAGATTTGTACATGTACTATTCAGTAATACTCATTACATTCAATTAACTATCTTGGCACTTCTTTTCAGCTTTTTAATAAATATGCCATCAAAACTCTTAACTGATTTCATTATGGGGCCTGGGCAGTGCTAGGGATCCCATCCGATTGCCTTACGTTGAACCAATATTCGTTAATTCTTACCGGCAAGGTTGTTTATTTCAATTTTGTTCGTGATAAAAGTAATGGTAAGCATCTAACCCCCTATTGTCAGGGGGACAAAGGATGCTGTGAGTGAAAGGGGCCAGTGTTCCGGACACACCCTCAGGTTAACAAAGTAGATTCCGGTCCCTGTGCCTTTGCCTTTCCCACAGTGTTGGGAGCATGCTGTGTGCAGCTTTGGAGGCTCACTTCTTCCCTTCGCAGTGTGCATTTCCACTTCCTCAAGTCTTCACAGTGTGAGGGTTTCTGTCTCTACTCTTAGTTTAACAGTTTTATTGGCATGTAAGTCACAATTCAGTGGCGTAAACATATTTAAAAGAGTTGTGCAATCACCACACTCACTTTTAGAGCCCTTTCTTTCTTGTATTCATTATTTTTAGCTTGGATCTGTCATCTTGATTCAGCTGTTTATGGGTCTCCCAATCAACATGTGCTGTGTCCCCATCCCAGTTTTACAATTTGCCCACAAGGGTGTCATAGAGACTTTTTTATCAAATGTTTTTAAACAGTTGAGGCCCATGGGAGTCTTCTGTACCCCACCCCTGGGGTTGGGGGGTGAGGGGGGGGGATTGTCAGTTATTTTGCATGTTAATTGCTTTCTCTGAGTTCACAAACCGCTTTTAAAGTACTGACTCTCATATATTGTTTCCATATCACTGTTAGGACATGGGCTTCTATTCGACCATTTCCCACCTTTCCATATTTGAATGTCAGGAAATTTGTCTTTCATTAATCATTCACACCCCTTCTGAGCTCAGTAATTCTTCTGAGGTAATGAAAATGCATATTTTTTTAGTACCTTCAGTAACATAATATTAATAGCAATTTCCATATAATAGGAAAAAGAACTATGGGATCTTAAACTTGAGATCAATGTTTGTTTAATTTAATGTAATCTAAGCTGGAAGACGTAAACTCCTTTGAAACAGATCAGTATTCCTTCATCTTGCCCTTAGACTCCTCCGTACCTTTGTCATTACCATACTTCTGAGAAAGAATTCAATGGGAGATGAAACATGGCACTGTGTATTTGCTGCAGGCCAGTCCCACCTGGTCTCGAACAGCATGCTTGTTCTTTCCATCTCCATTCGCAACAGAATACTTTCTGGTAACTTTGAGCATTTTATTTGTAACAATAGTTACTAACTTTGCTTTCAAAACTCACCTTTATCCTCACGGAATCTATTCTTTACACTGTTCCGTGTACATGTGCATTCCACCTGTTTCTTAGCGTCTGGGTATGTTGTGCCTCTTAGGGGAACGCCTTGTGGAAGTTTGGGGGAAATTCCATTATCTTGATCTAATCTATTTTTCTGTGGGCTCTTTGAATGCTCCTTGGAAAATCACTCAATGTTTGCAATGATATCCCTTTCTCCTTCTTTAAATATTGCTTAAACCACTGTCCAGTCAGGTTTGCTCTTCTTGAACCCTCCATCCCTGTTAATTTGCCTTCATTGTGAGTGCCTGTGAATTATTTGACACTTGCCTTCTTTTCTGTGAATCATTTGACCTCCTTGAGGTCCAGTGTGTAGGTCTTGTAGGGAAAAGCTCTTGACATTAAGACTTCCCAGTTTTTAAGTCAGTCTTTAAATTAATTTTCATGTCTTTCAGAAAAATGTCGACGCTTGAATTGTGCCAAATGTTTTAATGACGACGATGTCTACTTACCCTCACAGATCGAGAAGTTTTTCCCTCATGTCCTTGAGAAGGAGAAAACACGCTCTGATGGAGAGCCTTCCAGCCTGTCTCCAGAAGAGTTTGCCTTTGCAAAGGAGTGAGTAATTAGGGAGCGGGGCAGTGGCTTGTGAGAATGAACGTGGGGGCTGTGTCACGGAAGCTCTGCTAAGGGCTGAAGGAGGTTATCTCAGAGCCTTCTCCATCCATGGCTCCTATCACTTGTGTATGTGACAGCAACTCTCATGTGTGTGTTTCAGGTACATGGCTAATACGGAGACGTATCTTAAAAATGTAGCCTTAAAGCACATGCCTCCTAACTTGCAGAAGGTGGACCTCTTAAGGTCAGGTAAGCAAAGCATTCTCTTTTCAGAAATTCTGAGGAACTGTAGTTTGCCTTAACAGGTGTCTTCATTCCCATTCTACCCTTCATTCTCAAATATGGGAAAATAAGGATGGAGACAGGCAGAAAAGAGAAGAGACAGGGCTCTGGGTTAAAAATTGCAGTTAAAAATTCCTTAAAAGGAGGTACAAAGGTGAGGGGGCCGGGGAACTGAGGAGCTGATACCAAGGGCTCAAGTAGAAAGCAAATGTTTTGAGAATGATGATGGCAACAAATGTGCAGATGTGCTTGACACAATGGATGTGTATGTGTGGATTGTGATAAGAGTTGTACGAGCCCCCAATAAATGATTTAAATTTAAAAAAAAAAAAAAAGGAGGTACCAAGTCAGTATTTTACTTCTGTGTTCTTTGGTTTGGTTGAAATTCATTTGGCTGCCATTTTGAATATGGACTCATTCCTGTATCTAGTTATCCATTCATTCAACAAAATATCCCCTGAGCAGCTCTGATTTGCCAGGCTCTTCTGTGCCCTGAAGATAGAGAGCTAGCCGTGACCTGGGCTCTGCTGCCAAGTGTCAGAGGCATCTGACTGGGATGGGGGAAATGAATAGGAGACTGGGGAAAGCGCAGCAGTTCCTTGTGACCTGTAGTAAAGACAGGTGGCATGTGTGTGTGTGTGTGTGTCTCTCTCTTTCTCTCTCTCTCTCCTTTCTGGGACGGGGGAAATGAATAGGAGACTGGGGAAAGCGCAGCAGTTCCTTGTGACCTGTAGTAAAGACAGGTAGCGTGTGTGTGTGTGTGTGTGTGTGTGTGTGTGTGTGTGTCCAGTCCTTAACGAAAAGAGGATTCGTATACTGAGGTTAGGGGACAGGAAGGGAAAGAAGTATGGCCAAAGGCTCTCCTCAAGCCCTTCTCCCATAATCCCCTTAAAATTCTGTGCAATGTGGAAAGGAGTTAGTAACTTTTAACTTGACCTCAACCAACTGGGGGTGCCTGACATATCGGTAAAAGTCTGTATTCCTCAGTCTTTCCCAATTTGCCATATCTGAGCAGGACCTTATCAAATTGTCAGGCCAAATCAAACAATTCACCGGGAGACTGGACTCCGTCTCGTTTACAGGCTAAGCGTAGACTGCCGGTTCCATTAGCTCAAACACTAAGATCCGTGAGAATTGCTCTTTCCCTCGGGCTGTGCTGGGAGTCGTAATCCCCCTTGGGCTGTGTGAGATACCTCGAACAGGGACAAAAGGAGACATGACTCACTTGGAGCAATCTAAAACTCATCCCAGATAGATGGGACTCTAAGCTGGTCATTTTACTGTGTCTACCTGAAGAGAACACAAGGCCAAGTCCATGTCTGGTTCCCTTTCTCATCAACGACTTTTGTTTGCACTTTCAAAGAATAGAATGAGCCAGAGCCTGTCTCATCTAATTGATTAAACCAACAGAGGAACCACTGAAGGGAATGAATCTCAATTCCCGGGTCTGGATTGAGGCACTGTCTCCAACCTTCTGTTTGGTGCAGGTGAATTCTCAAGCATGTCATTTGTCCTGGGCACTTTCCTAGGATTCCAGCCAGGCTCGTGGACATGGATCAGCTGATCCTAGTGAAAGCAGAGTCTTGCTTAGCCTGGGTTCTTTGAGTCCTCATGTGGGCTCAGCAGCATGGGGGTTCCCAGGAAGGCATGCCAAAACCCAAACTGGAATTCATGGAACCAGATGTAGCCAACTGGCAATACTGGAGTCTTTGTAGACCCAAAGCCCAAGAGCAGTTCAGGGACTCTCCTCTAGGTCCTCTCCCGTAGAGGGGGGAGGAGGGAGTCAAGGGCACTTTGAATCCTGAGCTGAGCTCTCCAACTGAGAACTATCCAGTGTGTTTGGTGGACTCCGAAATTGATGGAGTCCTCTAGTTATAAATGGAGCTCCAAGAGATGAGCGGTCATAGAGCAGCCCAGCACGGGACACCTAAAAACTTGAAGTGTTGGCTGGTGGTAGAAGGGAAAGGATGGCCGAGACATCTTAACCTGTCATCCACCAATGAGACTCCACTTAAAGTTGCAACCTATCTTCTTTAGTCTAGCTCTAACACTTAATTCTGTCACCATATGAGCCCATCTAACTCTTTCTGCTCTTTTTTGAAAAACACTGTATTATACACTATTATCCCCCCACACACACACAAGCAGAACAAAACAACAACAAAAACCTCCCAGCTTTGTGCGCATGTCTGTCTCGGCCTCTGCTCTTCACTCCCAGGCTGATTTTCCCTCTGTAAGCCTTCCCTGCCTCAGCCCACAGTGCCTCCCTTCTCCTCACAGGTGGAGCAGATGAGCCACTCACACATGAGGCTTGTTATCACACATGTACCTTGTAGTGTTGTGGTCGTATCCTCCACAACATACAGCAGGACTCGAAGCCAGGGGTCCTCAAATTACAGCCTGCCGAGGGTATTTATCCGGCCCGCCGGGTGTTTTCCCCCCGTTTGTTTTTTAACTTCAAAATAAGATATGTGCAGTGTGCATAGGAATTTGTTCTTTTTTTTTTTTTTTTTTAAGTATAGTCCGGCCCTCCAATGGGTCTGAGGGACAGTGAACTGACCCAGTTTAAAAAGTTTGAGGGCCCCTGCCTAAGCTCTAAGGACTCATTATTACCTGTTGCAAATGACTGCTGTGTGAAACCTTGGGTGGGAACTGTGCTGTTTCTCTGAGAGCCAGGTAGGTCTCCCCTCAGCATCGTGCCCAAACGACCTTGGATTGGAGGTCCCTGAGGGCAAGGTACCATGACTCCTAGCACCTTTGTCTCAACCGGCCTTTCCTGATTATATTCTTATTTTTTGGCAGTTCCCAAACCTGATCTAGATTCCTATGTGTTCCTGCGGGTGAACGAACGACAAGAAAACCTCCTGGTAGAACCAGAAACAGATGAACAGAGGTAACCACGTGTGTGTTGCCGGCGGTAGGGAACAGACCTGCTGGTGGAGAACCAGCTGAGCTCGGCAGCTATATTTTTTTCCTTCTTTTTCAGGGACTATGTGATTGACCTGGAGGAGGGCTCACAGCACTTGATCCGATACAAAACCATTGCACCTCTGGTTGCTTCAGGAGCGGTCCAACTGATTTAGAGCCAGAAACAAATCCACAGTAACGAAGACATGGCACCTGAGGAGAAGCTATTCAGAACACCTTCCCATCAGTCCGTCTGGGCCTTAGCGCCCAGGCCGTAGTTGTGCAGGGGCCAGCCCTTCTTGGCAGTGCTGTGGCTCACTGGGAGATTGTAAAGGAACTCGAGGAGGGTTCCTAATATTGCCCCGTGTTCCCCTCACTTCCTCCCTTTCTGCCCGTGATCAGCAGATGGGGCCATTGCTCCATCTATTCTGAACAGTAGACAAATAAATGGAGACTTGTTTGTGGGATGGTTGAGGTGTCTAGGGAAAGTGAGGGAAAGCAGTTCAGAAGAAGGAATTAGTGCCTATGATTCGGGGACTATTTCGGCCGACCTGACAATGCGGGGAGAATTCCTTTCAGCTTCCTCATAGGAAGATTGTAAAAAGCTTACAGAAAACAGCTGTGGCCTCCTGCCTTCTAGCACCAGCTTGTGTTAATTAACCTTTTGGAACACCCCCGATTGGACTTAAAAACCAGTTTCTGTCACACTTACCTGGGAGTCACAGCTAAACCCACACCATTGTGAAGCGCCAGGCTGTGACAGAAGGTGCCTCTGGATAGCTCTTTGCTTGTTGGCTAATGATTTTCTCCCCACTGCTACCCTGCAGGCTTCCTTGAAGCTCAGGCAGTTTGGCCAAGCCAGCCTCTGGTCAGTCTGTCTACCCTGGGCCACATGAACTGCCCTACATTGTGGCTGCCGTACGTGGCAGCTTTTCTTCAGGCTCCTCATTTTCCCCCAGGAAATCAATGAAATTGCCCTGAAGTGAACACAGCCAGCCCCGGATCTGAAGGAGGGTATCTGGGCAAGTAATCGGTCATCTTTTCCGTGCAGTGTGATAAAACTGCGAACTGCGGGCCAGTCTTTTCTCTCCTGCCTGGGCAGCAAGATTTCCTGTTGCATGAGAAAGGCTTTCAGAGTATTCGTTGCAGTCCTGCTGTATCTCCAGGCAAAATCCAAGGTTCTTGGCTAGTAAAAGTATTTGCTATTTCCCGTACTACCTTGATTTTTTCCGGAGTGTTTTGACCCTTGGCAACCATTCATTAAACAAATCTGCATGAGTATATAGGGTGCCAGTGAACAGTCAGCCCACCCTGACCTCCAGCTACACAAAGGAGAATCTGACTCCTCCCAGCCCACAGCTGATTGCCCCAGGGAGGGGTCAGGCAGACCTCCACCCTCCAGCCTTCCCTCCCACAGCAGGGTACCTCTCACCTCACTTCAACCATCCATTGTAATGGCCACACAGAACTTGCAGGTGATACTCAAGGTTATGGGGACTTATTAGGGAAGCTAACAAGTTACAAATGGTAAGGATACAGTTCTTTGGTCGGAAGCTTTCCCTTCTCAACCACATTGGCAGGCGTGTCTGAGGACCCTCAGCTTCTCAGTCACTTGCTCTGTGCTTGGTGTTGGTATCCAAGAAGCCTACCTGCCCTGCTGCGTTGTCTGGTGGTTTTCATGCTCTGTCCTCTGCTACTTCCCATAGGCATCTTGCCAGTTCTCAGTTGCTGGCTGTTCTTTCTAAATGAGCATGGGATTCTCTCCCTGCTTCTGAAATGCCGCTCTCATACCCAGAGGAATGTCAAAACTGACCAATTCCCTCCATCGAGTCCTCTGCACCTCATTTTCAGGAGTCCAACAATCATTTGGTGGGAGTCCCAAAGGCTCTGTGGAGAAGAGCCATACCAACTGCAGCCAGGTACACGCCAAGGCAACTGAGCCACAACCGGGGCTGGAGAGTCAGTGCTGCCCAGAGAGTTAGAACTGCGGATGGCTAGATGGGGTGGTTCAGGTGAGTGTCACTGAAGGTACGTTCAGACTGAAGTCTGTATTGAGGGAGCCAGACACACAGATCAAAAGAAAGCATAGTCGGAGCAGAGGAGATGCAAGTGCAAAGGATCCTAAAGCATGAAATGAACCTGACCTGTGATCATGTTTCTGGGGGGAAGAAAGTGGTCTGGGAGGTCTTAGGCAGGCCAGGGTCAGATCCCAGAACACTGTCCCATCTGGTTTCAGCAGTCCTAAGAATCACATAGTAGTTAGCAAACAAAGCAGAGGGTGTTTAGGACCAGAACCTAGGCCTCCCTGCCTGCTAGATCCTTGTGCTTATTGAAGTGGTGAGCAACCAGGAGAGGAGGAGCAGGCTATAATCTAGAACAGTGCTGCTTTAGCTGTACTATGCACATCATAGTGGAATTAGAAGTAGTGCATCTTGTTAGAATGCAGGTTCTCATTCGTAAGGCCTAGGGAGAAGCCCAGAGTCTACATTTTTCTGACAAGCCTCCAGGATTGCAGTTGCCGCTGCTCCGGGGGAGCGACTACTGTGCATGCTGATGTCTCCAACTCCGCCTGTGTGCGTGTCAGGCTGCACGCAGCTGATGAGTTCGACTAAAGCCATGAAGGGAATTGCACCGTTTCCTGAGTTACCTTTTCCAAGGAGGACTGATAGGGACCTGTCAGTGTAAACCAAGTAGAAAGAAGGGAAATTATGTGGTTTAGTTAGTGGTGAGTACAGCTCTGTGTGGCTTAACTTCCACAATACTAGTACCTTCTGTGAAATGGGACAGGAGCCACGTGGACCTTGTGCAAACGCCGTATTGTAAACCTCTTAACACCTGAGATCTTGTGAGCTGTGGCTACTGAACACAGGAGGCCAGCACGCGAGGTGTGTGGTTGGGCTGAGTGGAGGCTGTGCAGGTGACTGTTCATTGACTGAACTTTTGTTCCAGGCTCAGATGTAGATCGACACATGCTCAGCAGGCCAGATCTGATTATGGCCAACGCTTGCTTACTATGCGTGAATCCTTTACTGGGAGGAAAGGGCTCAACAGGAGGGAAAGAGCAGGAGAGGTAAATGATAGACAATATGGGGTGTATGTTTCAACATCTTGTGACAATATTTCTAACACTAAGGGTAGGGTCACTGGTCAAGCTGCAGAATGTATAGGGTTACACAGGTAGAAGGTTCAATATAGAAGAAGAAATCTTAGAACAAAATTCCAGTTCCTATAAAAAAGCTAGACCTACTGAGCCAATAGGAATCCAGAGGAAGCCCTTTATCTAACACTTTAAGATAACCATTGCACTTAGAACTGAAGTTATTTCTTGAATGTCGCCTTTCAGTCAAATAATAGGTTGGTATAGAAAATGAATACTATCACCTATAAGTTATGAGAGCTTTTAAAAATAACCGTGAGACCAAAGGGTCAACAAGTACCAAAAAGCACTGATAAGCAAACTGAGGAATGGTTTCCACAGAATCAACAGCATGGAACTAACAAACTGACACATCGGGAAATGGTAACCAGTGTCACAGGATCAAACTTGTTAAACAGGAACTCAGCATTTGTAGTGTAAACTTGCTCCTAAAATGTAATAAAATATAACAACCCATGGAGCACAGCTTTACACAAAGGAGTCCAACTTGACCTGTTAGCAACTGAGGTTTACAGTAAATTCAATGGCCTGTGGCCTTGGAATTTCCCCTACAGTAGATAGGTCGAGTCACCAGAAACTACTGGAGCTGCCCCCAAAAATCCTGCCAGGGTTTCCACTCTTGCCTCAGCCTCAAACTGGCATGGTCTGGTATCAGTCTGGGCTAAATGATCTTTGAGTGGATTATCCAAGAGATCTATCTACAAAGTAAAGGAAATAATGCCCACTATTTGTATATAAAATTAAAATTTTAAGTATGAAAAATGAAGACCCTCTGCGTGGGGGAATTGAAGGACTCCGCTATTGGGAGTATGGAGAGGAATGCACTGTTGACTGAAATAAATACTAACATCTAATGTTTATTGCGTTTTTACTATAGATTGGGTGGATTAGCTCAAGAATCTTCACAACAGCCCTATACAAGAAAAAAATGTGAAATTATGAAGTGGGTATCCTTTCAGTGAAATGCTTGTCTCTGCCCTTGTCTGCACAGGCTGTTTTATGCCTCTAGAGGTAGAGCATTCTTTTGGGTCACCTTTCTTTGGAATGGGTTCAAATACAGAATGCTCAACTGATAGATCAATATTACTCATAGCACCTGCAAGTAAAATTTTGCTGAAGATCATCCAACAAAGGTTGCAGCAGTACATTGACAGAGAACTACCCGAGGCTCAGAGGACATGGAACAAAGACTATCGTTGATATCAGATGGATCCTGACTTTATGAAAATCGTTTTCTGAGTCTAACCAGTCGCATATATTTTGGGGATTCACTAAATTCCTTGCCGGGCAAAAATAATCATTATTTTATTCTGACCACCACAGAACCAAGTAGAAGTGAGCCAAGAAGAAAAGTTTTAAGTTCTTTTGTGTTAACTTTAATTCATTGTGTAATCCATACTGAAGGCTGAAATCCTTGATCTTTATCAGCAAGTGCTTCAAGCCCTCATTTTCTGCAAGCAACGGTGTATCATCTGCATATCGCCAAGTTGTGAATAAGCCTTCCTCCAATCTTGATGCCACATTCTTCTTCATATAACCCAGCTTCTCTATTTGTTAAGCATACGATTGAATAAGTATGGTGAAATGATACAACCCTGACATACCCCCTTCCTAATTTTCACCCATGAAGTATTCCCTTGCGCTGTCCACCCAACTGTCTCTTGATCCATGTACAGAACACAATTAGGTGTTTTGAAATTCCCTTTTTTTTTTTTAATCATTTATTAGGGGCACATACAACTCATCACAATACATACATACATCAATTGTGTAAAGCACATTGGTACATTCATTGCCCTCATCATTCTCAAAACATTTGCTCTCCACTTAAGGCCCTGGCATCAGCTCATTTTTTCCCCTCCCTCCCCGCTACAGTTAGCTGCAGTCTAACTTCCCTCATGAACTCTTGATAATTTATAAATTATTATTTTGTCATATCTTACACTGATGTCTCCCTTCACCGACTTTTCTTTTGTCCGTCCACCAGGGAGGAGGTTATATGTAGATCCTTGTAATCGGTTCCCCTCCTCTACCCCACCCTTCCTGCACCGCTACCCTTACCGCTGGTCCTGAAGGGATCATCTGTCCTGAATTCCCTGTTTCCAGTTCCTATCTGTACCAGTGTACATCCTGTGGTCTAGCCAAGTTTGTAAGGTAGAATTGGGATCATGATAGTGGGTGGAGAGGAAGCATTTAGGAATTGGAGGAAAGTTATATGTTTTAATGTGGCTACACTGCACCCTGACTGGCTCATCTCCCCTCACCCTTCTGTAAGGTGATGTCCAATTGCCTACAGTTGGGTTTGGGTCTCCACTCCACACTCCCCCTCATTCACAATGATAGGATTTTTTGTTCTGGTGATGCCTGATACCTGATCCCTTTGACACCTCGTGATCACACAGGCTGGTGTGCTTCTTCCATGTGGGCTTTGTTACTTATGAGTTAGAGGGCTGCTTGTTTACCTTCAAGTCTTTAAGATCCCCAGACGCTATATCATTTGATAGCCAGCCGGGCACCATCAGCTTTCTTTACCACATTTGCTTATGCACCCATTTGTCTTCAGTGATCATATCGGGGGAAATTCCCATTCTTCTCAAGGTTATCCACAGTTTGTTACAGTCCACACATTCGAACATCTTGGCATAGTCAAAACACAACTAAACATCTTTCTGTTATTCTTTGAGTCAAGAGCCATCTTTTTTCTGGGTTTCCAGGTCTTCCAAAAGCCTAACTACTAAGATTCACATGACTTTAAAGGAGGAGAAATTTTTCACAACACAAGAATCTTTTCTGAATTAGGGAATTTTCTGCATACCACCGTGCTTACAGATTCTACCTAACTCCTTGAGACAAGGAAAGCTATTCACAATGGATTAAACTCAACACAGAATAACAAACCTTTCTTCTTGGCTCACTTCTCTTAGGTTCTGTGGTGGTCAGAATAGAACTAAATGGTTATTTTTGCCCCACAAGGAGTTTACAGTGAATCTTGAACAGACTAAGTACAGATTTGAACATATGAGACTGGTTAGACTCAGAAAATGATTGCCTTAAACCCAGCACTAAGAAAGTTAGAAGGAGCTCATTTTCATTGGCTCAAAGCCCCTTGAGTGGGCTACTCTTT